TATATGGTGGTGGATATCCTAATTGCGCCATAGCAATGGCATAGGGTTGACCGGTTGGTCAAGCGGGGCCAAATTATCAGTATCGGCAATTTATCAGATAACAGCCCAAAAAGGGATTCCAGAGACTTCTAAATTAAAGTTGGGGAATTCATATTGATTCTAAGGTCCAATAAGGATTGAGAACAAGTGTTATATTTTATTTGACCCGATAAAATAAAATATACTTAAAACAGTCCGGAAAATACAACTTTCAGGACCGATTGTACACTCGGGTACACAAAGGGTTGACCTCCCACATAAGTGGGTGCCAACCCACGTCCTTGGTCTGGAAAACATTAAGGGGAGCCGCATGGAAGCATGGCAATGGGAGGCTGATTGGTAAGGAGACCAATCAAACCAACCAAGGGCCCCTCCTCACATTATTTTGGGCTATTGAGACAAAAGTGAGGGGTTCCCTCCATCCACCTTCAATCAGTTCGGCCATCCCACAAGAGAGGTGAGAGAAGATCTGTAATACTCCATTCTTTGCAGCCATTTTCGCACAAAGCTAGGAGAGGAAGAAGGAAGGGAAGAGAGAAGAGAAAAGAGGAGTTTAGGTGGGAAAACTTGTGTTTAACAAGGTAATGACTCCATTAATCCCATTTCTTGTTCTTCAATCATTTTATACGATTATACAATCATATTCCACACCCTAGGATTGTTCTACACGTTTGGAAGTTTAGAATGAGGGGTTGGAAGGTTGTTCTAAGTCCAAGAACGGACTTGGAAGCCAAAGTGACCGGTTCGCCGGAAAATAACCTTTTTGAGGTTATTTGTATTACTATGGGTTTTATGATGATAAAACCTTGTTAGTAACTTGTCTAAGGTATTCAAGGAACTTCCACGGAGTTGAAAGGGTCTCCGGAGTTGTCGCCGGAGTTCGTTGAAGTTCGCCGGAGTTTCGCCGGAGCTAAATCGGGAAGGCTAGAACTTCATAAGCTTCATTAAGGTGAGAAGACGGCTTTATGCTTTATAACTTTTGCTTGAGGCATGAGATTACCTAAATCAATCAAAAACATATTTTATGGAATGATTAAGAATAATCAAGTGTTTGCTTATGCCATGAATTTGCATAAAACATAGTTGAAAAGCATGTTATGTAGGTTTGGTGATTAAAAATGTGATAACTTATTATGTGTGGTGTTCCAGGGATCCAAAATGGTATTTTGGGATCAAGGACGTCAAGAAGTATAAGTGTATAAAATTTCACGTTAATCGGACTTCGTGTGGGCGGTCAAACGAGCGTTGATCGCCAAGACGAAGGTGATACCCGACCGGGTATGGGTAAATACCCGACCGGGTTTTGATTAAAGATGGCTCCAGAAGCCACTGCCACACTAGACCCGACCGGGTATGGGTATAGACCCGACTGGGTCTCAAGTAACGTTGGCTCCAGGGGCTACTGCCTCACCCCACCCGACCGGGTAAGGTTGGATACCCGACTGGGTATTGGGTTATGCTCAAAACGGGCAGTTTTGAGTAGGTTAACGTGGGCCGTTCGGGTGGGACCCGCCCACGTTGGATCCTAAGGATTGTTATATGACTATAGGGCTAGGCATTGTCCATAGTTGAAGGAATGAAAGGTTAGCCATATTCAGGTTAGGATTTGATAGAGGATAGACTGGGGATTGAGTGCCCTTGGACGATAAATGATCCCGAATACTCCAGGTGGGGTCGAGTACCCTTGAACGGTAAATGATCCAGAATACTCCAGGTGGGGTCGAGTACCCTCGGACGGTAAATGATCCAGAATACTCCAGGTGGGATCGAGTACCCTTGGACGGTAAATGATTCAGAATACTCCAGGTGGGGCCGAGTACCCTTGGACGGTAAATGATCTTAAATACTCCAGGTTGGGTTGAGTGCCTTGGACGGTAAATGATCCTAAAACACTCGGTAGTATGAATCGAAGGTAGACTATAGTTTGTGAGCTAGGCAACCGGGAAAGGAGTGAGAAAAGTCAGGTAAGAACTTTGTCTCTAAAAGACTCTTTAAGGTAAATGACCTACGGGTTGAGTATTTTACGAGTATATATACAGTATGTATCATCGGGTGGATGAGGGACATATATATATATGTATCACCCTATTTTTGGGTCTCGTGTCTGAAACATTAGTTATTCTTCATATAGCCTGCTTGTCACCAGTACTTCTATGGAGTACTGACCCCTCCGGGGGCCCTCACATTTTTCAGGTTGAGGCTAGAGTCCTACTACTTGCACCTTTGCCTAGGGTGATCATTCGAGGAGGAAGACGTGGTTCGTGCTTCCATTCATATTTTTGAAATTTATAAACTGCTCATGGATTTTTGAACAATGTTTTCATTAAAACAGTTGGGGGTCTGTGTGCCCGTGTTTGCCACGTGTGGCTAAGTATCAAACATATTATTATTTCCGCATTTGTTTGATTATGATATTGATGTTGATTGTAAGTGTTTACTAATCGGTTTGGCAATAGAATCAATCGGACGTCTTGTACAATTCAATAGGGATGAACTGTTGTTGTTCTTATCGGGTTGTACGGCGGTTGTCTACGTGGCTCGGATGGGGTCCGGGGTGTGACAATCGAGGCTCAGATGATGCACAGAAAAAATGCTGGTGAAAAGTTTCTTATTCCTCGACTTACTTTAACACCATCAGATGTTAGACTCCCTTTCACTTTTTAGCGCAGACAGTTTCCGTTAATGGTTAGCTATGCAATGACCATTAATAAGAGTCGGGGACAATCATTGGAAAAGGTAGGGATCTTCCTCCGGCAGCCTGTTTTTACGCATGGATAGTTAGACATGGCGCTCTCGAGAGTAACAAGTCCATCTGGGTTGAACTTTGTCATATGTGATAAAGATGGACAACCAACAAACTCTGCATTGAACGTTGTTTACAAAGAATTTTATAATAATTTATAATTTTTTTGACAATTCCTTGGACAAATATGCACACCTATTTACGATTAATATTTAATTTTGAGCATTGATTTTTAATTTCAGGTTAAACATGACTTCTTATTTGAACTTACGTTTTCAATTAATTCATTCACTATCAACTTTTTTCTTACTTCTTACATAATTTACCTAAATTCGTATGTAACTGCTTTAGTCTCGTGCAATGCACGGGTGGGTAACTAGTTATTCTGTAATGAAATAAGTAGTTGCAGTTTAACGTTCACAACGTTGCATCCGAAAAATTGGTTTTATTACTAAAATGCCACCATGCATATATAGTCTTTATATCAATCCACCGGATGATCAAGATGAATTTGTAGTTTAGATATTAGGAGGTGTTTGTATTTTGATTTATTTATCTATATATAATTATAAGAGAATACTAAATATCCTATAATGAGTTAGAGGCCTTGTTTTTAATTTAAGAAAATTTGATGTTGAATTCTTGTTAGCCGCGTATAAGACGAGTCTACTTGATCTGATTCCGAGAACCGATGGATATGGATCTAGAACAAAAGTTCTAGACCTACTGAGGATATGAGTTGAGTCGGGAGCGACACAGAGTTAAATATGTTTGGGTTTGAAACATTATAATTTGACCGACCTATTGACGGGCATGCATCATGTATATATATCGTGTGATCGATGTTAAATTTCTTAAAAACTGATTTGTTTTTTTAGAGTTGAGATACTTGATTGGAGATTATTGAGTATGAGTACTGATGGATAGTGTACCCGGGGGGTAGCTTATCCGGGGGGTTATTGCGGGGAATAACAAGAGAGAAGTCAGAGCAAGTAAGTATAGAGAGAGAAAGTGTATTCAAAAAGTATGCAGCGTTTATGACTTGGTTACAAATGGGGAAATGGTGTGCTATTTATAGTAGCAATAAATGCCGGACAGGGACACGTGTCAAGCGCCCATTGGCCGAGAGGTCACCTCAACTGGTTGGCGCTGGCAGCCGCATGTGGCCGCATTTAATGCGGCTGTTGGATGGGACGTTGTACAGGGTACGGTGATCTGTACGCATGTGGCGTGGATATTATGTCGGGAGAGGTGCCCTCGGCTGCAGAGGACAAACCGAGGGCTCTGAGTGCCAGGGACCCCCTGGGTGCCGAGGGCTACTGTTTTCTGCCGTTTTTCTCCCAGTTTCTTAGTTTGCTTGAAAACCCATTCTGTGAGAGTTTTGAGCCTTCGGCCAGGGGGCCGAAGGCTCCCCAGTGTGCGCTGTGGGCTGCTAAGTGCTTGGGGCGCCGTAATTTGGGCCTGTTGGGCCTTGTTTGGAGTAGTGGGAGTCTGTGGGCCGGGGGTTCCCGGGCCATATACTCCATCAAGTACCTAATTAATTTTTTATATATAAAGCCCGTTTGGTAATACCTATATCGACTGTTTTGATTGATTCTGCTGAATTTTTATGAAATTTTGGCTGAAGTGATTGGATTAGTTCATTCTGGTGATTTATGAAAAAATATATTTAAAATATGATAATATTTTTATAATACAATAAAAAATATGAAAAATAGTTAAATTGATTTTCTACATATTACAGTAGATTCAATCAATACACCCCGAAAAATAATTACGAACTCGCACAGATAACTCAGTTGATTGAGTGATGGGAAATTTAGATCAAGTAACCAAGGTTCGAATCCCGAAGCGACTGTGTGGAGGTTACAACCTCTGAAATGGGCTAGACTTCTGGCGCGAACGGGTATATGGACCTACTGTCACTTCGTTTACTGTATCACCGTGATTTACATCCTCTCACGTGCCTTGTCAGATCGGAGTGTGGGAGGCTTTGGGGATGAGAGATTCCACCTTTTGGATCAAGAAAAATTATTATGATCTTACTTTTTATTATTATTACACAATCTAGCGTGCAAAATTTAAAATTGCAGGTCTAAAAAACAGGTTGACTTATAAATCTAATAAATCGAAAAAAAGGCCATGGAACGGGCTCATGGTATGAGGGTTTATACTTTATTGAAAACTCTTCCCAATATTTTATAATTCCACCCTTCGTATAACTTTCGTTTTCTTTCAGTCAGAAATAACGCGTGACTAGCAGCCGCGCACCTAGTAAACCCCACGCCCCCGGCGAAGATAGTTTTCTAAATTTTTACCACCGATGCTGTACCCTTACTTATTTCATCTCCTTTTCTTTTTTCCCTTCGCCCCTACTCTTCAGTCGTCTTTCGCTGTGCTGTGCCTCTCAACAAGTTACAGATTCATCTCTTCAAATCTCTTCCAAAAATCCAAAACTCTCATCACTCTCTTATTTCCTCATCTGGCTGTCTTTATTGTCCTCTCAGATCACATTTTCTTTCTTGACACAAACTCTCTAGCTTCCTTTTGTACTCGACCACTAATCTAAAAGAACGAGGAGAACTGAACATAAAGTACAGGTTATTGGATGTTTTCAGGTGTTTCGATGGGTTTAATCTGATTTTGGGAATATGGGTCCTTGTTCAAAGGTGCAAGTGGCATCTGTTTCTTCGGAAGTCAGCCTCAGTTGGTACTGTTCTTCTGTCTGCTTATAGCGTCACTGTTAAGATTTATCAGTCTTTGATGGTTTTTTAAAGATTCAACCTTTTCCCTTTTTTTGGTTGGTTATCAGTTCAGACGCGCTTCCATTTAGATTTTTATCCACTGATCTACTGTTCATCTATGTTTAATCATCAAATATTTATTCTGTGATTGATCTTCTGATTATCTTATGATATTAAATAAATGGGTACTCTTCTATTTTTTCCAAACTATACCTTTTATGAGTGGATGGTTTTCGCATGTGCAATATTTGTTTTCAAGATTTTGATTATGAGTTTTTGAATATACTTATAGTTTATTCTTCCTGACGCTATTCAAATTTAAGGATTTGAATGATTTATCATTAATACTCTGCATTGGTTAGTGTTTTTTTAATATTGGCTGGACTAAGAACACACAGTTTATTTAGGTTTTAAGGATGTACTTGCATAGTTACATATATAGCATTGCATATCTACATCATATTCTTGACTTAACAGCTGCTTAGTTTTGTTTTGTTTTGTAATGATAGAAATTTAGGTTGGTAAAGCTTGAGGTTTTTACTTGGACAATGGGAAGAGGCAGAGGTAAGGGAAAGAAACAGCCTGTTCGTGAGGATCTCGGAAGTGGTGAAGAAGAGAAGATGCCACCAGTTAGGAGAAGAGGAAGGCCACAAAAGCCATTGAAGGATGACATAGAGGATGAGATAGAGGAGGAAGCTGAGAAGGTGGAGGGAGGTGAAGAAAATGATAAAGCTGGTGAAAATGGGAAGAAGAGAAAGCGTGATTCACAAGCTACGGAGAATGGTGATTTGGGTAAAGAAGAAAACGGCGTGGGAGATAAAAGCAATCCGGATGACTTAATAAAGCCAGTAGGGTTCAGACAGATTGGGAGCAGAAGGAAGAACAAACCTCGTCGAGCAGCTGCAGTTGGGGTTGAGTGCAGATGAAGAAATTGGAGGCTGCAGGAAGCTTATGCTGTGTTGGTTTAATATGTGCCTTTTGTTTTGTTTTGTTTTGGCTTATGGTTTTGAATTTTGATTTTGGAAACTCCGGTTTAAAGTTAATCAAGAATTCGGTTTTTGTGAAGAATAATCCCATTAATCTTTTACCTCGTGCATTTTCTGTTTTATTTTACGGAATAGCTATCACATTTGAATCTGGATTAGTATTCTTGTTTTTGTTTTTCAATGCAATGGTTTAGGAGCTCAGCAGGTCAATCTGTCTAAATTGCCCCCCTCTGCAAGTTCATAAAAGCTGGAGGGAAGACCTAAGATATCTAACCTTTAATCTCAACTCTATGCTGCATTAGAAACTGTGAGGTAAAGGAATGCAAGCTATCATGCACTTCTTGAAATCATTCTTCTATGCTCTGCCCTCCCTTTCTTTCTCTCTGATATATATTTTGCATTTAAGCAAATCTAAATATTTATTTTGATCCTTCCCTAATTGCTTTGTTTCTAAGTGTTCAAGGTATAGTAGCTCTGATGCCAGTAGACCAAATGTCAACATATTCCAAAAAACTGTACTCCATTTGAAATAAACAGTGAAGAGATAGGAAATACGAATTGCAACAAAAAAATTGAAAAATGACCAAGGCAGAAGGGCTGGGGTGGGGGCAAGGGGGCAAGGCTATCAAAACAAAAGAGATGAGAAATACTTACGCATAAAGCCCCAATCCCCTCCCACTCCCAGTTGGTACATAGTACATTCGTACCACGTAATAATGCAAAAAGGGGACACATAAACATGAGAAATTTAAGAAGATTAAGAGTAGGGATGGACTCGGGGCCGGGTCGGGCCTAGGCCCAGGCGGGCCGGCGGTTCAGAAGTGGTGGACCCGGGACCGGCCCGGGTAACCACCGGGTCCGGTCCGGGTCCGGCCCGGGTAACCACCGGGTCCGGTCCGGGTCCGGCCCGGGCCGGGCCCATTATCAATTTTTTTTCCTCTTCCTAATTAATCCCCCTCCCAACCCCCCAAACCACCCCAAATGGCCCAAAATACCCAGCCCAACCCGAAAATTTAAAAAAAAATTGAAAAAAAAAAGTTTTGGCCCGAACCGGGCCCGGCCGGGTCGGGCCTTGTTTTGGGTGACCCGAGCCCGGACCGGAAAACCCACGGGTCGGGCCTACCCGGACCGGACACTGACCGGGCCACCGGGTCCGGCCGGGCCAGAACAGTGCCGGTCCCGGGCCGGTTCTGGGTCGGGCCACCCGACCCGAGTCCATCCATAATTAAGAGGCCGTTTCATGACTATGTTCTTGGACTTGTCAATCTTATCGGTTAATTTTTTCACCAAACATGTAGCTTTTGGTTTCGTGTGTTAGATTTTATAATAATAATAAAATAAGATTGAAATTATTTTTCTGACTAAATTAGCTGAAATTACTACGAAGTATATAAAACCATTTTAGCCAGGGGTGAAGCCAGGAAAATGACACAGGGACGTCGCTATTCAACTTTAGATAGAATGAAAATACTAGATTGTTTTTAGACAATACCCGAATTGAATGTAGCTTAGATAAATAGTAGTTTAAAGGAAACTAATAGAGTTATATAGTTGCTATATATGTCATATATATTATAAACTTGTTTTATATGTGCTCAGTCGACGGGTTTCTGCACCGGTGACTGCATTAGGTGAGGCCCTTTGCCTTACCCTAGTACTCTATAGTTCTCCCCTCACTCGGTTTTAATATCAAGATTTCTTACTAGAAAGCGTTGGCTATTAAGTAGACATTCATAGCAGTAAGATATGTTGTCTTTGCTTTGTACCTAAGTCATGGCACGTAAGTAATGAGTGAATTATACGCTATTTTCGGAATATAATTAGTATTACACATCAAATTTTACTAATTTTGAGTTTAAATAGTGTTTATTTTGTAGAAGTCGTAACTTTTTACTCGTAATGAGTTGCAGGAATCATAATGTATCAAATCGAACATATTCAGAATTCTACTCTCAAATTTTCAGGGGGGTCGACTGACCACCCTCACTACCCCTTGGCACCTCCCCTGAATTTTAGCTATCTTTGTATATACTTTTTTATATATTTTATTTATAAAATATATTTTAAATATAATTTTTCTATAATTCAGCACATTCAGCTAATTAATCCACTTCAATCATTACTTTATCAATTTCAATAGATTCATGTGATTGAGTATGCTACAAAGGCTATAAAAATTATTTAGGACTCCTTTACCTTTTTGGATTTCAGAATGGTATCCGCATGGATAGCTCAGTTGGTCGAGTGGTGGGAGATTTGGATCAATGGACCAAAGTTCGAATCCCCGCAGCGACCGGGTGAAGGTCACAGAACCTGAAATAAGACTGGGTCTCTGGTGCGCACGGGTGTATGGGTCTACCGCCATTCTGCTGTTTGAGTCACCGTGACTAATCTCCCCACCATTCTGTCGGGTCGGGGTGGGGGACTCCTGAGATGAGAGATTCCACCTTTTGGATCAATGGATTTGAGAATGGTGACCATGTAGTCTATTAATGAAGTGTCACGGATTATGTAATACTACTAATAAATAGCCAGTGGTGGCCTTGGGCAAGAGGGGCGGCAATCCCCTTGTCAGCTGATGCCAAACAAAATGTTTTTAGTCCAAATCATTGTTTATATAGGGACTATGATTCTATTTTCCATTGTTGGTGAAAGTCTTCAATTTTTTATATGGAGTATGTATTTTGAGTCATAAAAAAATGTATTTTGAGACATAAGTTAATACAAAATTTAATTTAGTCATTAAAGTTTTTTGTGATTTCCGAAGAGGCACGGTTTCCACAAATCAAAGCATAATCATATGTCTTAGTTTTTCTTACTAATTAATAATTTTCGTGTCGTTAGATGTGATATATATATATATATATATATATATATATATATATATATATATATATATATATAGGAATGATCATGTCCAGCAGGATGGACAGGATCCGTCATCCGAACGCCGCTTTTTGGGGTGTTCCTGATAGAATTTTTTGATGAATTTTTTTGAACATGTTCCTCATCAAGTCTAGTTTATCCACAAACAATTTCAGCTCAAAATTCGACCGGGAAGGCAATTAAATAATTTTGTGAAGTTAACTGCGCCAAATTATACATAGAAAACGCAGTCAACTTCAAAATATTATTTGACCGACTTCCTGATCGAATTTTGAGCTGCAATTTTTTGTGGATAAACTAGACTTGATGAGAAACATGCTCAAAAACTTTCATAAAAAAGTTAACCGGGAACCGCCCCAAACGGCGGCATTCGGACGACGGCTCCTGTCTGAACTGCTGGACCTCAGCATTTCTGTATGAGAACGATGCTTAACGTGAGAACGTGAGAACACTCACAATTAACCCACTGTGATACACAATAGAACCCATCACATTTTGACTTTTCGCAAAACAAGCCAATATAAATAATCACGGTGGCATTTTGGTAAATATTATGCCGAACACGAAAAAGCCCTTTGCATATATATAGATTTAGGATCAAATGAGAACATTGTTTAACGTGAGAACACCACATTTACGTCAATGTGATGCACAACGAGACTCGCTCAATGTGTGTGTGTGTGTATATATATATATATATGTATATATATATATATGTGTGTGTGTGTGTGCGTGTGTGTATGTATGTATGTATGTATGTATATGTGTGTGTGTATAGGGTGTGGAATGCGGATCAAATAAAAAGATGTCAAGTAAAATTTTCACTTTTTAAACGTTTTGATGCACTTTTCTGTTCAAGTAGTGCACTTTTTTCACATTTGTAAGAAAGTCCGTCTATTTATTAAATTGCCACTGTCATTTTTTTAAAAGGTGCATTTTGTTCAAATGTGAAAAAGTGCACTACATGAATAGAAAAGTGCACCAAAACGTTGAAAAAGTGAAAATTTAGCATTTTACACGTTAAGACCCCATTTGATTTGATCCACACCTTACACACACGCACACACTATTAGAGTATATGATCATTATTTGATCAGTTATATATTTTTGTAATAAATGAGCTGGATATTCAGTTAGCTTGGAAGTTAAGCTAGGTACGATCATCTTCCTTACAGGAAGAATAATATTTTCTTCATTCTGATTCTCCAAACTTCACGTTTACATGCTAATATTGTATCAGACGACAACTTCTTCTTCCTCCTGAATTTTCTCTTCTAAGCTTCAGCTATGGTTACTACACGATCAACATCTGAAAATCGAGATGATTCAGTGCCTGATCATCTCACAAATCCTTCTAATCCGCTCTATCTTCATCCTGGAGAAAATCCGACCTTGATCTTGGTTCCGGCACTCCTCACAGAGAAAAACTATTACTCATGGCACCAGAACATGATTGCGATGTTGGAATCTAAAAACAAAAACATGTTTGTAGACGGATCATTTCCTTCTCCTGCTTCGATTTATCCGTTGCGTGAACCATGGAGACGCTGTAATCGAATGGTGATGGTCTGGCTAATTCGTTCGATGTCTCCTTCAATTGCTCAGTCAGTTATCTATTTTGATACTGCACGAGAAATTTGGACAGATTTAAAAGATCGCTTTTCACACAATGATATATTCCGCATAGTTGATCTGCAGGAAGAAATTCAAAATCTACATCAAGGTACCTCTTCCATCACTGAGTATTACACAACACTCAAAGCTCTTTGGAAGGAGCTTGAACAATATCGAACAATTCTCGTTTGTAAGTGCTCGGTAACTTGTCATAAAATTTCTTCATTGACTGAATGCAGAATTTGCTCAAACACGTTCTCAAATCATGATAATCTCTCCAATGCCTTCACTCACAAAAACATTCTCCCTCATACTCCAACAAGAGCGTGAGTTTGGTATCAATTCATCCAATTCTCAATCATCCACAACAACTCTTCTAGCAGCATTCAATGAATCCAATTTCACAAATCAATCACGCGGTGGCTATAATTCATCTCGTGGACAATCATCTAACTCACGTGGTGGTTATAACAACAATCGTGGTGGCAGAGGATATGGTACTGGAAGAGGCAAAAGTAAAAAACATTGTGATCATTGTGGCAGAAACAATCACACACATGAAACATGTTTTGAACTGCATGGCTATCCACCAGGCTACAAAACAGGAAATACATCATCAAATGCTAACTCTTCTGCACACTTAGCTTCTATGGAT